AGCATTTTTTTTTTTTTTTTTGAGTTGGAGTCTCACTCTAGCCCAGCTGGAGTGCAGTGGCATGCTCATGGCCACCCCAGGGTCAACCTACTGGGCTCCAGCGATCCTTCTGCCTCAGCATTCCAAGTAGCCGGAACTACAGGCACGTGCTACCGCGCCTGGCTAATTTATTTTATTGTAGAGACGAGGTCTCATCAAGTTGCCTGGCTGGTCTTGAACCCACAGACTCAGGCAATCCACCCACTTCGGCCTCCCAAAGTGCTGGGATTACAGGCTGAGCCACCAAGCCCAGCCAAACACCATTTTAAAAAAAGACTCTATGAGAGTTTTCTCCAAGTTATATGTTAAAATACTCATTCGATTCCATTGTTTAATTTTCCACTTCACAAATTCTGCTTGGTGTTCTCTTTATCTGTCATTTCTCCCTGATTCCTTTCTGACTCTTCCCATTTCATTTTGGTCACTTTTCTTATTTCTATCCTTACTTCTATACCCCTCACTGAATTGTCTGCAGAGTCTGATCTCCTGTGGGCTTCTTCTCATGGTGTCTTCCTCTTTCTGCTGTTTTTGTTTTTTCTTCTTCTTGTTTTCTGAGTTCTGCCGCCTCACATTTCCTCATCTGTGTCCTGAGTTCCTACAGGGAGTGTATTTTCGCTGGCACACTCTGAGACCTGCTCCCAACAAGCTGTGCTTCCCACAATCTGTCCTGCCGTTTGCTTTCCCCAGGTGGCCCCTGCTGCACTTGACCCCTGAGGGCTTCTGTGGCCATCCTAGTTGCTTTTGGCAGTCCTGCTGTGTATTTTGAGTCTGCAGATTATATCTGTCTCTTTGTTTTGCTGAAAATGGAGTCACTTTCCTTTTCCTTGTTTCTTTTGTAAGCTATCCAAGAGGAGAAAAGGAAGATTGTCATCTGTATTCCATGCTCATACTGAGAACTCTGGGCTAGGATCTTTGCTTATTTCTCATTCTGATGATTCTCTCAGTGGTGAGTCTGAAACTGCTGTCTTCCAACAATTCTGGATCATTGTAAGACATTTTCCCTTTGGAAATTCCCTCTTCTCTCTTCTGGAACTTTATCCTCTGTGGACCCTCTCATTCTTTCCTTCATATTTTTAAATCTCTCTCCCATATTTTTCTTTTTTTCCCACCCCTCCACCCCCATATTTTTTATCTTGTCATCTGGAGCTACATTCTGGATCATTTCTTCTACATCTTTAAATTGCTTGGTAGCCCCCTTTCTCCCTTCCCCGCTTTATTCTTCCCCTTAGCATTTTCCACCATTTGATGCACTGTATTTTATATATTTGTTCTTTTTTCTTTTCTTTGTTTTTACATAGAGACAGGATCTCTGTTGCCCAGGCCCAGGCTGGTCTCGAACTTCTGGGCTCAAGCAATTCTCCTGACTTGGCATCCCAAAGTGCTGAGATTACAGGTGTGAGCTGCTCTGCCTGGCTTGTATTTTATATATTGATTTTGTCTTTTTTGTCTTCCCTGTTTTTATTTGTATTTATATTTTATATATTTATGAGTTGGTATACACCACCATGCCCAACTAACTTTTTTGACTTTTGAGCTACCACACCCAGTCTATTTTTTATTTCTTATGTAAACCTTTGATTAAAGTATAACATACCTGTGGAAAAGTATACAAGCCAGATAATTCAAGCTCATTGAATTATCACAAAGCAAACATACCCATGTAATAGCACTCAGATCATGAAGTAGAATAACAACACCCAAGAAGTCCCTTGTGCCCCCTCGCCCGCCCCCACAAAGGACAAACATTCTCCTCACTTCCATTTCATTTTTTCTGTTTTTGAAAACTTTATATAATAGAAATCAGGCCAGGCACAATGACTCACGCCTATAATCCCAGCATGTTGGGAGGCCAAGGCGGGAGGATCACTTGAGCCCAGGAGTTTAAGATGACCCCAGGCAACATAGCAAGACCTTGTTTCTACAAAAAATAAAAATAAAAAATTAGCTGCATGTGGTGGCACATGCCTTTAGTCCCAGCTACTTGGGAGGCTGAGGCGGAAGGATCACCTGAGACCAGGAGGTCGAGGCTATGGTGAGCCATGATTGTGCCACTGCATTCTAGCTTGGATGACAGAGTGAGGCAACGACTCAAAAAAAAAGAAAGAAAGCAAGCAAGAAAAGAAAAAAAGAAACCATATAGTATGTATTCTTTTGTATCTGGCTTCTTTTGCTCATCGTTTTATTTGTGAAATGTATTCACGAGTCTAGATGAGGCTGGGTCTAGTTGTACTCGTTGCTGTGTGGTATTCTTTTACATGGATATATATACCATAATTTGTTTATCCCATCTACTATTGAGATTTTGGCAGTTTCCAATTTTTGGCTATTATGGCTAGCACTGCTGTGAACTCCTGGCCTCAAGTGACCCTCCCACCTCGGCCTCCCAGAGTGCTGGGATTAGAGATGTGAGCCACTATGCCCAGACAACATGTCTCTTGATAATGCTGTGCATGCCTTTCTATTGGGTATATACCTAGGAGTGGAATTGCTAGGTTAGGGAGTATGTGTATTGGTTCTTAGCTGCTTGTTTTCTTGGAACTTTGTGGGCGCTCTTTGAGGTCTGACTGAAGTTTCATTCTCCAGAGAGGATTTGCCTATGCATCCTCCAGTTACCTGGAGCACTGCCAAGCAGGGACCACTTGAAATTCAGTTTTGTTGGAAATTTTTCAGCCTACACAGGTAGCGTGAACTTAGAATGCCAGCCTGTGTGAGACCCTGGTTGTGAACAAACAAATCTGGGGAAAGCTTTCCTTCCCCCCGACCCCAAAACCGCCCTGGAGACAGGTAAGCTTCCCCACCGCCCCATTCTGTGTGAGGGGTTATTCCCATCCACTCTGGCCTGAGGGTTTAAGGTCTGGAGTGCCAACTGTACATGGTATATTCGTCTGTTAGGGCTGCCATAGCAAAGTACCACGAACTGGGTGGCTTAAACAATGGAAATGTATTCTCTCACAGGACTGGAGACTAGAAGTTCAAAATCAGGGAGGTGGTGCTGATTCCTTCTGAAGCCCTCACCTCTCTCCTGGCTCCTGGTGGTTGCCGGCAGTCTTTGGTGTTTCTGGTCTTCTTGTTGCACCACTTCTGTTTCTGCCTCTGTCCTTCTGTGGCACTCTCCCTTTGTTCTTTGTTTCTGTCTCTTCTGTATCTGTCTGTCTTTTTTGTTTTTTGGTTTTTTTTTGATTCTGGGTCTCACTCTGTTACCCAGTCTGGAGTGCAGTGGCACCATCACAGCTCACTGCATCCTCAACTTCCTGGGTCAGGTGATCTTCTGCCTCAGGCTTCCAAGCAGCTGGGACTACAGGTGCGCCATCAAGCCTGGCTAATTTTTTAACTTTTGGTAGAGATGAGGTCTTGCTATGCTGCCTTGGCTGGTAAAAAAAAGGTAATTCTTTCTCATAAGAACAACAGTCATTGGCTTAAGGACCTGCTCTTTTTCATTGTGACCTCACTCTACCCCATCTCCAAATATGGTCACATTCTGAAGTCCTTAAGTTTAGGACTTCGACACAGCTTTATGGCAGAGGGACACAACTCAACCCATGACGCATGGGATCTCCAGTTAGGCTGTCCACCTTGGGCAGCCCTAGGCTTTCTCCTCTGCCCCCTGTGCCCCTGCAGTTGCCAAGAGAAGCACAAGTTCTCTGAGAACTTGCCAGGAATTCAGAGAATGGAAGTCAGCTTTGGCTTCGACTTGTCCCACAGAATTTCTGCTTTTTTTCATTTTTGTTTGCTGTGGATTTCTTCTTTTGAGGTCCCCTCAGCAGTGCAGTTCAGAAAAAGACTTCTTTATGTTTCATGGAACTTTCCCCCTCCTCTTAATAAGGAGCACTACAGGGAGCCTAGTCTGCCCTACCTGGCACTGGTTGTAATCCACACTTGCTCCCCACCCCAGTCCTATCTCTAGGCAGGCCTGTACTTTGGCATCTTGCTTGAGGGTCAAAACACAGGCCCTGGAGCCAGACACCTGCATTGTGACCCCCTGCAGTGTTACCTCAGTGTGTGCTGCTTCCCAATCACTTGCCACTGTAAACTGGGGACTCTGAAAGGCCATGTGACATGACACACTGAACACAACAAATGCTCAAAGTGCACATGTTCTGGTTTTTTTCTTTTTGTTGAGTTGGGGTCTCCCTCTGTCACCCAGGCTGGAGTGCAGGGATCATCACAGCTCACGGCAGCCTCAACCTCCTGAGCTCAGGTGATCCTTCTGCCTCAGCCTCCTTAGTAGCTGGAACTACAGGCACCACCATGCCCGGCTGATTTTTTTAATCTTTTGTGTGTATGTGTGTGATCATGCCACGCACTCCAGCCTGGGTGACAGAGTGAGAAAATTTTTTTATTCTTCATAGAGATGAGGTCTCACTATGTTGCCCAGGTTGGTCTCAAACTCCTGGGCTCAAGAAATCCTCTCCCCAGCCAGGCTCGGTGGCTCAGACTGTAATCCCGTGCCTTTGGGAGGCTGAGGTGAGTGGATTGCCTGAGCCCGTGGTTTCGAGACCCACCCGGGCAACTTGGCGAGACCTCATTTCTACTATAAATAAAAAAATTAGCCGGGCGTGGTAGCGTGCGTTTGTAGTTCCAGCTACTTGGAAAGCTGAGGCAGAAGGATCGCTGGAGCCCAGCAGGTCGAGGCTGCGGCAGCCGGGAGCAGCCACTGCACTCCAGTCTGGGTGACAGAGTGAGACTCCAACTCAAAAAAAAAAAAAAAAAGAAATCCTCTCCCCTCAGCCTCCCAAAGTGCTGGAATTACAGGCGTGAGCCACCGTGCCCAGCATAGTGCACACATTTTCAATTGGGCCCCGGCTCAGCTGCCCAGCTGGAAGCTCCAGGTAGCATTGTTAGCAGGTCATGTCTTTGAGGACTGAAGTAGCCCAGGGGAGGTCCTCCAAGGGGATACAGTGAGAGGACACCTTCCAGGGTTGCTCAGACCTCTCCTCCCCCCATGTGTCTCTGTGTCTCAGGGAACATCTACCATTATGTGCCCTGGTACAACACCAAGCCTGTTGTGGCCGTGACCTCCCACTGGGAGGACATCAGCTTCCGCATGAACTGCCTCAACCTCCTCCACTTCACGCGGGACCGCCTGGTGAGTGTGCAGGAGTGGCTGTGGAGAGGGCTTTGGCCATGGGTGGGCAATGCGAACTGCGTCACTGTCATAGGAAGTGGGTCACACAGTTCACTCATGCCTTCCACACCACTAAGATGAAAGCGCCAGACACAGGGCAAGGCACTGAAAATACAAAGATGAGTAACCGTAGCCCCTGTCCTCGTGTCTCGGGAAGTTGGATACGCACAGCACAACTAGGGCTGTGATGGAGATACAAGCACCAGAGCAGCAGGGTCAGAGAGATGAGGGGAGGGAAGGGGAGAGGAAGAGAGGATAGTTAGAGGAGATGTTTGCAAAAGAGGTGACATTGCAGCAGGGCTCTGAGGAATGCATAGGAGCTTGTGGGGGCGTGGAGGTAGAAGGGAATTATGCAGAGCCATGGCAATATGCCAGTTTTGAAGTGGGGTGGGGGGCATGCATGGAGGCGACATGAAGATAAGGTCAGAGAAGCTGGGAGGGGTCAGAACACAAAGGGACTTAGGTTCCTGCCAAGGAATGAGTGTCTTGGGAGCCACCTGGGAGCCACCTGGTCCCGCCACCTCAGATGTGACTTTTTCACACCTCCTGTGGGTCAGGACTCTGCACTGCTTTCCAGTCGCACCCCCTCCTGGGTCCTCCCTGCCACCCATTTCTTCTGTTGAACAGCAGGAAGGGTGCATGGGGTCCTAGTCTTACAAGGCGTGCAGCGACCTTGGATGACATCGCCGGGTTACGCCTCGAAGGTCCCAAGGTCTTGGGCCATTCAGCCCTGTGGCCTGTCCCAGGAGAGCTCCACACTGAGGTTGGCTCTCCCCATGTCTCTTCTGCTGGGCAGAAAGCCAATCTGGACACCCTGAAATCCATGCGAAATCCGAAGGACCCACATCTGCTCCACCAGTGGGAGAAACTGCTGAGGGAGCTGGCAGAGGACTGCAAGTAGGAGGGGGGTGCCTGGGGCAGGGCTGGCCTAGATCAGGCTGGGAGAAGGGGGCTCAGAGGAATACCCCAGAATCCTCCTCAAGAAGCAGGAGCACTGCTCAGATCTTTCCCTGACTTGAAACTCACAACAGTCACTTTTCCCTTGCCTTCAGGCTTCCTGCCCTCCCCATCACCCCGGTCCCTATGATCCCACACCCATGCCCAAGGCTCCTACCACACCAACCTCTCCCCTTCCTCCAGACAAGCCCACACGGTTTCTGCACCCTTCCACCGGCTGCTACTCCTGTCCCAAGTGCGCTCCTCAGGGCTCTGCCTGTCCTGGAAGACTCACTGTAAGGCCTCCCCAGGCCTCACCCCTGTCTCAGGGCACACACCCCTCCCCACATGCGGCCCTTGGGCACAGCCCAGCCACACTGCTGGAGCTGGGAGGATGGAAGCAAGAGAACCCTGAGGAGAACCCAGGGCCAGACGCAATGAGTAGTCTTCCTACAGAGGGGCGGGGAGGGCTCCTGGATCAGCCAGCAGTGGGTGGGCCAGATCTCGAGGCTGGGAGGTGCACACGAGCCCAAGACAGGGCTGCAGATGGTGACTGGGTGGCAGTACAGCAGTCGGGTCTCCTGCCAACCCATCCCGGCCACAGGCGTCCTCTGCCCTGCATGAGCAATCAGCCCACAGCCACCAACCTGGACAGGAAGAGGTGGCAGCTCCGCAGCCTCCTCCTGCAGGAACTGGCCCAAAAGGCCAAGCAAGCCAAGCCCAAGGACATGGTGGCCACCGTGGAGGGCTGGCTGTACCACCTCAACGCTGTGCTCCCTGAGGTGGGTGCTGGACACTGGCTGGGGAGCAGGGCTGGGGCCAGCCAGGCAGGGTCTGATGTCCTGCCACCTGACAGCCCCAGGTGAGCATCCCCGATGTGATGATCTGGCTGATGGCCAAGGAGCAGCGCGTGGCCTACGCACGGGTGCCTGCCCACTCCGTCCTGTACTCCCCGGCAGGGGCCCTGCACTCCGGCAGCCACTGTGGGAAAATACAAACACTGCTTCTGCAGGTGGGGAAGCAGGGGGTCCTCAGGGGAGGACAGGGCCTGGAGATGCTCCCAGGGGGAGCCCCTGAACTGGCAGAGCAGCCTCCACTGTCTCCTTGGCCCTTACCAGGTGGAATGGGGATTAATTGAACAGTTCCCAGAAGAAGGTGGGGGCCTGTGGCTGTCAGTATGTGGGCTGCTTCAGATCCATGCCCCTCTGAATGTCCCTCAAATCCGTCTCCTCCATCATCCTTCCGGCCGCGATTTGGCCCATTCCCTTGTCATCACTCTCCTGGACCACGATTGGATGATCTCCAAAATAGTTAATGCCTCTGAGGTCTGGGCACCAGCCCATCCTATCAGATGCAAGACTGAACCTCACCCAGGCCCTGACAACAAGCTCCCTGCTTGTAGTCCTCCCGGAGGAGTAGGTAGGGGACCACTCCCTCCCTCAAAGACTCCCCAGCTCCCCACTGCCTCCTGGAGGAGGCGCAGCCCTGCCAGCCTGGCCTTCAGCCCCTCTTGCTGCATCAACTTTCTCCAGCCCATGCTCTCAGCAGTCAGGCCACTCTAGGCTTCCCCTGGCCCTGATCAGCCCTGCCCTTTGCCCTATCCACCAACGTGCAAGGCTTCTCCTGTGCCCGTCAGAGTCCTCGTGAGACTTGAATCCCGGCTCTGCCACTCATGGGCTTTTCCAGGACTCGGTTGCTCCTCTGTGGAACGGGCCTGGTGATCACGGTGCCCGCCTTGTGGTGGGTTGTGAGGATCAAGGCGTTCGATTCACATTCATTACTTGGCATAGTGCTGGCACATGACAAGCATGTAATAAATGATCGCCAGGATAGTTATCAAGGTCCCCATCATCACCGCTCTTCCGTGGCGCCTTCCCAGGCTCCCCAGGCAGCATCGCCCATCTCCCTCCCCACCCTAGCTGCTCTGCTTCCAAGGGGCTCCCAGAGTGTGACTGCCCCCACTCAGAAGGCAGCACTGACTAGCCTTCACTTTCAGCTTCAGCGCCCAGATCAGTAGGAGGCGCCCACTCCCAGGGCTAGGGGGGATAGATGGGTGTGCCCCCTTCTCACCCACATCCCTGCCTCAGTACCCAGAGGGTGAAGGGCAGAAGGACACGCTCCCAGGCCACCTCCGGGTCTGCATGTGGCTCGGCAACATCACAGACAGCAAGGACCTGCAGCTGCTCCGCAGGGGCGACATAGCAGTGTACGCAGAGACGGTGAGTGGGGGCGGGGAGGAATGGCCTCAGGGAAGACCTGGGCTCCTGCGGGGCATGTCATGTGGCTGGGAGGATGAGGCTGCAGTAGCCAGGAGAAAAACCGCCAGCAACTGGATTGGAGAGTTATGAGAGAGGGCAGAGGCTAAAGCAGTCTTGGATGCCGCCAGCTCGGGATCCCTTGGTAACAACCCATAGGTATGTGGTGGTGGCGAAAGGAGCGACTGAGAGGCCCTCTAGGGCCTAGTCACACTCTCTCCCTGCTGGAGGCTTGTTGGGAGCTCTCTCCCAGTTAGTCCACAGCACATGAGGGGCCTCTCCATCACCAGCGGGCAGCCTGGGGGCCCTGCAGACCTCAGCAGGGTCCTTCAGGTCAGTTGGCAGTCCTGGGAGGGGGAGGCCTGCAACAGTCAGAACCCTAAACCCAGGGGGTGGGTGAGCCGCAGGCGCAGACTGCTGAAACTCAGCGGAGGGGCAGATGACCTTTGCTCCCCAGGGGAGGCCACGGCTCAGGAGCCGACTCTGACAGCAGGGGAGAAGCAAGGTTTGAGTGGCAGGCTTTTCGTTTACTGAATTAAATATACTTTTATGAGTTCTAAGTTGCACATGTGGTTGGATGGATCCTGTGTCTAACCAGTCCCTGCACAGGGCTTGGAGACGCAGAGACAGAGGGGGATTTAGGGTGAGGGGCAGAGCAGGGACTGCATGCCTATCAAGGGAAATGTGGGAGAAAAGGCCCAGAGGCAGCAAAGGTGGGCAGGAGGTAGCAGGACTGGATCCCTGAGTCTGCAGGGATGAGGGAGCAGGGGCAGGGGGCCACCATTAAGAGCACCAGGCTCCATCACTGCATCCACCCCACTCTGCTGGCTGAGTGACCTCGGGCCGTTGATCCCCGAGCCTCATTCTCCTCACCTGAGCAATGAGGATGTGGTCTTTTCTTGCCTGGCTATCACATTTTTAGGATGCACCTGCCGGCCAAAGTGGGGGGCCTAGGGCAATGCCGCAGCACTGACAACCTCCCCTCCCCCAGTACGAGAATCAGGCCAAGTATAAAGACCAGTGGGGGCAGCAGGGGCTGTACCGCTGCCCCAACTTCTCGGATGTCATGGGGAACAAGGCCCTGCCCATGACGGATTTCCAGCCACCCCCAGGATGGCACTGGCAGGACAACTGGATAGTGGAACCTCAGAGAAGGTAAGGCTGGGGGGTGCAGGCCCTGAGCCTGTGTACTCCGGAGCACGAAGTTGACACTTTCCCCTTTGGGGGGTCAGTCAGTGGCAGCCCGGAGAGGTGGGCACTAAGCCTGGTCCCAGTGGGTGCACCAGACACAGCCCTGCTGGCCCTGCCTAGCAGAACAGGTGGGTATGCCACATAGGGGGCACTTGGTCAGCAGAGGATGCCCCTATGGGCCTGTCAGTTCAGGGAGTTGTGCTGGGAACTTGGGGTCTTGCTGCCCCCAGGCTCCTCCTAGACATAGACATCAACAAGAGCCAGGTGCTGGAGGAGGTGTATGAGAACCAGGGCCGTGACGCCATAGGTGCCTGGGTGCCCGGGGCCATCCCGAACACAGATGCGGTAAGTAGACCAGAAGCCACCTCAGGATATGGGGAGGGGGGGGTCAGCAGGTGGGGAGCCTTGGTAGCTGGGGGTCCGAGTGAAAGAGCTATGATCTAAGCCCTGCTTCCCCGTGTGGGGTCCTGGTGAGTGCTCCACCCTCAGGCATCTTCTGGTACTGCCGGGGAGGTTTATATCCCAAGATGGCAGGCCAGAGATAACTTAAACAAGACTAAGAAACAACCAAGGGAGGCAGTGATTCCTTTCCAGGCCTCTTTCAAAGGTGGTATTCACCCTGAAGAGGAGAATCCATAGCCACCGTAGCCACCAGGCGCTATTCCTGCAGGCAGCGCTGTCTAATAGAACTGTGGTGATGGAAACGTTCTGTATCTGCTCTGTCCCCATGCGGCTATTGAATGCTTGAAATCTGGCACAAATGAAATTGAGGAACTCAACTTCAAATTGTCTTCTTTTGGTTAATTTAAATGTAAGCAGCCTCAGGTGGCAGCAACTGTATTGGACAGTGCAGGTCTTACCTCTAAGGCATGCTCATCTCCCCTTTTCAACAAGAGCAGTTTACAGTGCAGAAAAGCATATCCTTGAAGCATAAGTGCTTACTCAGGGGGCATCAGCCATAGCAAGTGTCATTCGGTCCAGGGGGTGGACGGTCACTGTGGCCACAGCAGGTACGCAGGGGTGTGTGGGAAGCGGGAGGGAGGCAACCTCCGTCCAGCTCATGCTTTCCTCAGTCATCCTGTCTGTCCACAGGATGGACAGCTCGTGGAGGCCCGGGAGAAAGTGAAGTGCCCCCAAGGCTGGCATTTTAAGAAGGACTGGGTGGTGGAATTGAACCATGCAGTGGACAGTGAAGGTCAGTTCTCTGGTCAGGGCAGGGGGCATGGGACCCCCGAACCACCACAGTCACAGCCTCGGAGTAGCCAAGCTCTCAGTGGGATAGGCTTGAATTCCTGAGGGTCCTCTAGCCTCCGGAGAGCCAGGTTTCTACCCTTTCCATACGCATGGAACAGCGCAGATCCCGTGTCTCCTGAGGCCTGCCTCTGAACCAGGCAGATGCCTGTGAATGTGAATCTGGTGGTAGGGCTGGCATCCACCTCAGGTAGCTCCAGTGAAGTCTGAAGGCCTGGGCTAAAGTCAAGCTTTGCTGTCTACAGGATGTAGGCCCTGCCCAAGTCACATCTTTGAGCCTCACCTTTCTCATTAGTCAGATGGGCCATTGGGCCCAGGTCACCCAGGTGACATAATGTGACCATACCCCTCAGTGAGTGGGAGAGCACTGCCATGTTAGCCTGCTCCCCTAGGGGCCATTTCTTAGGCCTGTTTAAGCCTCCCAGCTCGCAGGCACCTGAGACCCAGAGGCCACGGACCTGCCCCCACAGGCTGGGAGTACGGAGTGGGGATCCCTCCTTCGGGCCTGCCCCAGGTCTGGAACTCAGTGGAGAAGACCTACCACTCGTGTCGGCGCCGGCGCTGGGTGCGAGTGCGCTTCCGGAACCATGGGGAGCTGAGCCACGAGCAGGAGACCCTCTCCTTCCTGCAGCTGGTGAGGGCTGGCCAGAGGGCCCCTGGCTTGATGCAGGCAGGGGCCACCTGGGCAGCAGTGGGAGTGCAACTCTGCCTTCCTCCCTACAGCACAGTCCAGTCAAGCAAGAGGAGGGCTGGGAATATGGTACCTTGGGCTCCAAGTTCCACCTCAACCCTCAACCCCAGAGCCGGTTCCGCCGCCGCTGCTGGCACCGCAAGCTGGCCCCCAATAAGGACAAGGGCGTTGCACCCATATTCCTTCTGGAAGGGTCCTTGGTAAAGCCTCAGTGGGCTGGGTGATGCCTGCCTGCAACCCCACCTCCCGGAGGAGTCAGGGCCTCTTCTGGGTGGGGCACTGACTTTAAGGGCCAGGGAGGGCTGGGTCCCACTTCTCGGGCTTCGGAAGGCAGGGACGTGAGGAGGGAGGGTGGCCTGGACCTGGGCTGGGGGAGACAGGAGACACACTCAAGAGCCTCAGGGGAGATCATCCTGGGCACAGGCTCTGGATCTGAAACACCATGCTAGGAAGGAAGAAGACAGCAAGACGCGGTCGTGGGGGCTGGACACATGGTTCAGGAGACTTGACCCAGGGGACACCCGGCCTCCCAACATGCCCTTCATCTACTGCATCTTCAACAGTGAGCACTGGATTGGGAGTCTGTTTGAGTGGCCCCAGAGCCAGTACCTGAGGGCAAGGCGTGGGGAGGAGTAGGCATGGGGGAACAAGAGGACAGCCTCTGGGTACCCTGAGGGCAGGTGACAGACGTGACTCCTCTTCACACAGAACCTCACTACTACCAGCTCTTCTGCTACATCTACCAGGCCCGGAACCTGATGACCAACCAGATCCTGACATTCCAAGGTAGGTGGCAGACAGCCCTGGTCCCCCACTCCCCAGGGCCCAGTGACATAGCCATCCAGCAATATAAAGAATGTGGCACGGATGTGGCATGGATGGGGGGGGTTACAAAGACGCAGATCCCTCTCCCAAGCAGCTCGGTTTGGGAAGAGACTACAAGGCAAAGCTGCTCTTGAGGTGTGACCCAATACTGTGGAATCAGAAGGGGGAGCTGAGGTGGCATCACCCCAGTGGTGACCACTTAGCTGGGCACTGAAGAGGGAGGAGTTTGCTGGCAGTACTGATGAGACATGAAGGTGACAGAAGGTGGCATGCTTGGGAACCACGTGCCACTTGTGGTTGGAAAGAAGAAGAGGGGTAGAGAGGAGGTCCTGTGCAGGAGGAGACTATCTTTGGTCCTGTGAGGAAGAGTTGAAGTTTGAGGAGACGTGACTTGTGCTCCAGCCCTGTCCTGTCAGTGGCACAGTTTGTGAGGTGCTGGGGCAGGATGTCTGCAGGAAGGTGTGTCCATTGGGCATCACCATCCACATCAAGAGGGCCACTCGCTGCTGCTGTGCAAGGACAGTCACACACAGCCTTGTCTCCAGAACTTCTACAGAGACAATGCTCTGCCCTCCGTCTCTGTGAAGTCCAGGCCTCAAGCACAGTAGGCGTGCAGTACATGCTGATGGAACCAAATGATCCCCTGGCCTGTCATATGCCCAGTTGCTCTGAGGTGACCTTCTGAGCAGCCAGCGGTGGCAGTGGCTGCCCAGCCTGGGCCTCCCTGGACATCTGGCTCATGTGACAGCCAGACACGACTCTCCCCCTCCCCCAACCCACCAGAGCCCTTCATCCGGATGGTCTTCCTGAACCACAGTCAGTGCACCCAAACCCTGAGGAGCTCTGCAGGCCCCACATGGGCCCAGACACTCATCTTCCAGCACCTCCTTCTGTACGAGAGCCCCGAAGACACCAAGGAGAGCCCACCGCTTGTGGTGCTGGAACTGTGGCAGCGCGACTCCTGGGTAAGGTGGGCAGGGCAGAGCAGGAAGAGGACCTGCCTCACAGTCAACTGAGGGGCTTTCATTTGAGAGGAAAATGCATGGAGTGTCTGAGAAGGCCCGACACACAGAGAGCACCGTGTACACACTTGATGGCTGCCGTCTTTTCCTTGAAGAAACCCAAGCAAGAGCCCCCATGTTTTGTGAACTTTCCCTTCCCTCCAGGGCAAGGAGAGCTTGTGGGGACGGAGCATGTGGCCCCCGGTGGTCTGGCTGGATCTCCAAGATCGGATCCTGCCCCCCATGAGGTGGCACCCCCTTGTGAAGGAGTTAGGGGAGGAAGAGGGCGAGGTCTTGGCATCCTGTGAGCTGATACTTGAGACTGAGGTACTGGGAGGCAGGGCCTGGAGGGAAGCATGGTGCTCAGTGCCCCTCCCCAGCCCACTCCCAGCCACAAGCGGCCCGGCCAGCAGTGCCCAGCTCCAGCCTCTCAGCAAAGACCTGGGGCCCAGGAGCAGAACTTCAGGCTTGTGATGCTGGCCTGCCAGACCTCCCCCGTAACTCCCCCTGCTAGTTACTACCCATGGGGCTCTGGGACTTCAGCTGAGCCCTCTGATGGACCTGCTTGAGTTGGGGGTGAGGGGCCGCAGGTCCAGCCCGAAGGGACTTCATGCTCCCTGCTCTCCCACCTTGTTCCTCCAGAATCTCAGAGAAAAGCAGCTACCAATCCTAAGTGTTCCTTGGAAGAATGGGATCTACACACTCCCCAAGATGATCCAGCCCACACTAAGGAAGGTGGCCATTGAGGTGCTGATGGGGAGGGATGGGGAGGGTGGCTAGGCAGGAGGGGGGAGGCACTCTGAGCAATCTAGAGCATGCTGGAGTGCTGCTCTGCTGGTCCTCCCAGATCAAAGCTGGAACCCCAAGAAAATACTATCTGAGACAGAGGGAGACGGGAGAGAAATGAAGAGCAGAGGCTATGCTATAACAGTGTCGATTATTTTACTGCAGATCTCTGCAGTGATTAGTAGACAAAGGATTAGCATTTGTTATCGCATCTGAGATGCACACTGCCTCTGAGCAGGAGGCACTGTTTTTCAGAGAAGGAAGTCGAAGCTCCAAGAGAACATATTCCACCCATAATGACTTACGGACTAAGTGACAGAGCCAGAATTCAGACCCTGCCCTGACTCCAAATGCCTGGATGCTTCTCACCTTTCTTTTGAAAGTAGCAGAGGTCCTCACATCAGAACCTGTGTGCTCAGCCACAAATCTGGCAAAGAGCAAAAGATGGTCAGGTCCGCCACGGACTGGAGGTTTCCCTAAGATCAGGCAACCTGGCTAGTTCCTGCTTTGGGCCCCTGAGGCAGGCCTCATGAATAAGGATGCAGACATTTCCTGGCAGGGTGCTGGGGCACCGAATGTGTTCCATATAGTTCATGGAACACAGGTTGGCAATGAGCTAGCTAGCATAAGGGGCCCCTGAGAAATCTGGCACCTACCACTCCTGTGGGCCTTAGAGGCAGCCAGCCTCAGGAACTTGTGTCTGAGAACCGACGAGGCTGGGCAAAGCAGCAGGTGAGGAAGGGGGAAGTGCCTTCTGGAGGTCAGGGAAAAAGGAAGTCAGTGGCTGTAGGGCACCTCTTCTGGGGAGGATGGTCTTTAGCACAAGTACTGATCGCTCACAGGACAGGGAAACTCGGGCCAGCTTTCGGACTCTGGCTTCCCCACAGCCTAAGGCCCAGGAGCCCCTGATGCACAACTGTTGCCAGTGCAGCCCCCCTTTCTCTGCCAGGACCCATTACAGAGGTGCTGCCTGTCCCTCAACCTGCCCCCACCTTGATTCTGGCAGATCCTGGCCTGGGGCCTTCGGAACATGAAGAAGGCCAGCTCCCCCCAACTTCGGGTGGAATTCGGGGAGGAGTCCCTGACGACAGAACCCATCAAGGACTTCCAAACCAACCCCAACTTCCCTGAGTCGGTCCTAATCCTCACACTGGTAAGAGGCCCTGGGGCAAGGCCTTGGGCAGCCCTCTTCTCCTGGGGGGGCCTCACGCTCTCCACCTCTCCTTGGGGCTGCAGTACATGCCTACGGAGGAGGCCTATGCGCTGCCCCTTGTGGTGAAGGTGGTGGACAACTGGGCCTTTGGCCAGCGGACCGTGACAGGTCAGGCCAACATCGACTTCCTCCAGCCCTATTTCTGTGACCCCTGGGCTCAGGACTACGTGCATCCAAAGCTTCCAAGTACGGCCCTTTTTCCCTGCCACTCCCCAGACCTCACAAGCAAGCCCCCAATGGGAGTGGGACAAGGCCTTGGCTCCCCTGTGGTGTTGGCATGGCACAGCCTCCTTTTTAGCCCTTTTCCCTCTCCTGAGATTTATGACTGCACTCTTTTCACACAGTACTGTCTGTAAAGAAGCACCGGCATGTGAGTAAGGGCTGGAGGCCCACCCTCTCCCTCACTGTTGAAAGGGTGCCACCCTTGTCCCTCAAGAGGGGTGTCAGTTAAACAGGGCCCTGATGGTATCTATGTTCCCAGTGAGGTCCACCTGGACATGAGAACTAAGCAAGGATTCTCAGCCCAGGTAACACGCTAGAATCACCTGAGAGTCTTAACAACTCTGGTACCCAGGCCATTGACCAATTCCTCAGAATTGCTGGGGGTAGGACCCAGGCATCAAATATTTTTCCAATCCCCTCCCTCCATGATTCCAGTGTGTTTTCAGGGTTCAAAAATGACTGCATTAGGGCAGTACTTGCCAAACTTGAATGCACAGAAATCCTCCAGATGCCTTCATCAAAATCAGATTTATTCAGTAGGTTGGGGGAGCGGTTTGAGGTTCTGCATCTTTGAGCTCCTCCTGAGTCCAATCCGTAGCCATAGGCGACAAGGACTAAGAACGGTGCTTCCCCTCCTTCTTGCCCCCTCGGTCCTATGTCTGAAGATCCCCGAATTAAAAGGCCTATGTGAAGGGCAAAGGCAAAGAAGCCAGGGAAGTAAGCCCGGGTCTTGCCCTACCTGGTTCACTCTCTTTTTTTCAGTTTCTAGGATACCTCTATGAAAAGTTCTGGTTCAAGTGCAGCAAAGCCGAGGTGATGTAGGCTCAGCTCCAAGGAAGGAACAAGGAGCAACCACAGTCAATTCAGGGAGGTGGTGGGCTGCCCCTGCCCCAGGGCCAGAATGATCCTCTTCCCTGCCAGGATGAATATGAGCATGAGATGGATTGGTGGAGCAAGCTATTCTGGGCCACGGGAGATGATCACAAGTCCCTGAAATACAAGTACAAAGACTACCACACCCTAAAGGTTTGGAGGCCCCTAGGAGGGAAGAACACTGAAAGGGAGATGGGGTAAAATCTCCCACTAGGAGACGTCATGTGAGGAAGCTCCCACATTATCTCCTGACTTCCAGACACAGCTCCACTAACCAATCCATTTGAAGCAAACAGTGCTGCCCCTGACTGGGCAGGTGTCTGGAGCAAGACCCGGGAGCTGGTGTCTCTGTCTACCTAATCCCAGGAATGGTTCCCCACCAGCCTGGGGCCCACACATCCCCTACAGGTATATGACTGTGAGCTGGAGGCTGTGTCAGCCTTCCAGGGCCTGCAGGACTTCTGCCAGACCTTCAAACTCTACCAGGAATGGCCCAAGTTGGACAGCCCTGTGGTAGGGGAGTTCAAGGTGTGTGTCCACTCCAGTTCAGCTGCCCCTGTCTTGTGCCCCCTCTTGTCCCATTAGACTCTAACAAAAGCCCTGGCTCTATACCCTCATTGTGAGGATGGGGAAGGGAGGGCTTGAAAGTTTTGGGAGTGGAAAGTTTTGAGCAGAGAGTAGCCTACACAGGGACTCAAGGAAACCTCCCTTTCCACAGCAAGGGCAAGGGCCTTCTCACGCCTTGCTCTGGCCTATGCTGGTCTCCCAAGGTTGCAGGGCCGTAGAGAACAAGCCCAAACTGAAGGATGGAAGGGGGTGAAATCAGTTCACATCAGCAGAAACTGGGAACTCACCTAATGACTGTGGTTCCTTGGTTCCTTGGCCCAACATCTCCCTCCACAAGGTGGTCCCTGCCTAACAGCTCTGCTGCACCTGCCTCCACTGTCCACATGTCCTTCTATTCCCACCACCCTGAATCCAACCCTCTCTCCTAAAGTGGGCTAGGGGCACCTCTGGAGGGCTTTACAGAGCTGACCAGCCCTGCCTGGCTGGGCACCCAACATTTCCTCCCAACCAGGGCCTTTTCCGTATCTACTCCTTTCCTGAGAATCCGGAAGCCCCCAAGCCCCCGCACCAGTTCATGGTTTGGCCTGAGAGAGAAGACTTCCCTCAGCTGTGCTTGGTGAGGGTCTATGTTGTACGAGCCATCAACCTGCAGCCCCAGGACTACAATGGCCTGGTAAAGAGGAGCCTCCAACCAGCAAGGCACCCCCACACCCCACCCTAAACCCCAGTCCCTTGGAGCCTCCTCCAACTGCTGACACCCAAACTGCCCACTTCCACCCTCTCTGACCAACCCAGACTGCCCATTTCCAATCCTTCCCACGCTTGTATCTGACCCGCAGTGTGACCCTTATGTGATCCTGAAACTGGGAAAGACAGAGCTTGGCAACCGAGACACATACCAGCCCAACACTCTGGACCCCATCTTTGGCACGTGAGCTGCCCCAACTCACCCAGTCACACTTCTGAATTTCCATCCACACAGTTCTGGGAGTCAGCTGCAGAGGGTGGGAACTCTGGCATTTCATCCAGGCTCCAAGTTCCCAGCATGGTGTCTCACACATTCTAGGTGCTCAACAGATGGAAGATAATGCATGGGTGGTCCAGTTCTACCCGGTTTCTAAGCCTCTACCTGGGAAGGGAGCTCAGAGCCTACACCCTAGGCCTATCTAGTTATTTGTAGCCATAACCAAGGATAGCTATTGGCAGACGATCTCTACCCTATACTCTGTTTTCTGCATCCCTGTGAACAAACAAGGGACCCGTAGGGCCAAGGAGCCGGCAAGGGGGGCATGGAGACAACATGGCCCGCAGGCTCCTCATCCTCCCCGCTAGGATGTTTGAATTCACCTGCAACATTCCCCTGGAGAAGGACCTAGAGATCCAGCTCTATGACTTTGACCTACTGTCGCCTGATGATAAGATCGGAACCACGGTTATCGACCTTGAAAATCGACTCCTGTCTGGATTTGGAGCTCATTGTGGGCTTTCTAAATCCTACTTCCAGTGAGTGCGGGCCCATCCAGGACAGAAGGGGGAGTGGAGTGGAGTGAGCCCACAGCGCCCTTGGGAGAGGCCTGCATCCTGGACTGGGAACCAGGGTCCTGACCTGCCCCGTTTCCACCCATACTTTCACTGTCAGTCATCCTGCAGCTCAAAGGTAGTATTCTTTAGGACACAGACCTCTTCCTCTCATATCTCCCCACAGGTCAGGGCCCTTTAAGTGGCGGGATCAGATGTCCCCAAGCTCCCTCCTGGAACGCTATGCCAGGCGGAAAGGGCTGCCCCCACCTCTGTTCAGCCCTAAGGAAGACACTGTTATTTACAATGGGAAAAAATTCAAGCTGCAAAGCTTTGGTGAGTAGTACAGCACACTGTCAGAGAGCAGACACAGGCCTCTGAAGCCTATGAATGCAAGAGCTGCTGAGTCAGGGGTGAAGAGGGAGGACAAACAAGGAGAGCTTTCCCCTGTGCCAGAAGACAACTCACCCCTTTTCCTTCTGTAGAAGGCATCCATGCCAACACCTGGGGTGACCTGGGGTGGGCTGGGGAGGATGGGGGACCACCTGGGAGATGAGAAGGCTAATAACCTTGCAACCCCCTCCCTTTATTCCCCTCCAATCCAGAGTTCAAACCCCCTAATGTTCATGGTTTGGGATCCAAGAAGGAACGGCTTGCCCTGTACCTCCTGCATACCCAGGGGCTGGTTCCTGAGCACGTGGAGACCCGCACACTATACAGTGATGCCCAGCCGGGCATTGACCAGGTATGAGACTGAAGGGACTGCTTGTGTCCTCCATGGGAGGGGCTGAATCAGGAGATAGGCGGCCCATGCACCCAGGACATAGCCTACTCTGAGGGGGAAGAACAGACCAAGCATTTGGGTATGTACATGCACAGAAGACAAACATGTTCTGCATGTTAATAAGCAAGAAGTTCTGGTGATGTCACTTAGAATGGAGAAATGGAAAGGTCACCTACAAGAAAAGGAGGCCACGCACTGGCTGTAGGAGGCACTAAGGAGCCCTACCAGCCAGTACCTTCATTGCTCTAAGTCTCTCCCAAGGGGTGAGGAGGTGGCACCTCAGGTCAGACAGGGCAGACATTACAGTCCTGGTTCTGGCTGTTAATTGCAGACTGTGTCTTTTCCATGGCAAAGAACCCCAAACAGAGGAATACAAATCCCCAAAGACTCCCTAATTATCATTCACCCCACAGCCATCATAATGGCTCATCTCATCCCCCAAACTTCTCAAGCTGATACCACATTCTATATACAAAGTCCTTTACTGAGCAATTAAAAAAAAAAACAACCATTCTCATTAAACCTGTTTTCTCACTGGGCACAGTGGCTCACACTTGTAATCCCAGCACTTTGGGAGGTGGAGGTGAGAGGACTGCCTGAACCCAGGGGTTCAAGATCAGCTTGGGCAACTTGGCAAGACCTCATCTCTACAATAAATCAAAAAAATCAGCCAGGTGTGGTGGTGCGGGTCTGTAGTTTCAGCTACTTGGAAGGCTAAGGCTGAAGGATTGCCTTAGTGTAGCAGGTCAAGGCTGCGGTGGCTATGAGCATGCCACTGTACTCCAGCCTGGGCGAAAGAGTGAGACTCCAACTTAAAAAAAAAAAAAACAAAAAACCACACATCAAGGCTGGGCTCGGTGGCTCAGCCTGTAATCCCAGCACTTTGGGAGGCTTAGGCAAGTGTATTGCCTGAGCCCACAGGTTCGAGACCAGCCTGGACAACTTGGCAAGACCTCATCCCTACAATAAGTCAAAAATTAGCAGGGCATAATAGTGCACGCCTATAGTTCCGGCGGCTTGGAAGGCTGAGGCAGAAGGATTGCCAGGGCCCAGCAGGTCAATGCTGGCGTGGCTGTAAGTGTGCCATTGCCCTCCAGCCTGGGCGATGGAATGAGACTCCAAGTCAAAAAAAAAAAAAAAAAAACCCCACTAAAAAAACAAAATAAACCTATTTTCTCAAACAGGGTCAATTTCAAAAGAATAAAATTAGGCCACGTAGTCTAAAAGACAGAACATATTTGTTTCTTTCCCAATGTTGGTAGTTCTGCCCTTTCTCTTTTGTCTCACATTTTCACCTTTACCCTCTTAGACTTCTGCACCTTGTGGCTAGTGTAATACTCTTAGATTGTGGCTACATAACATAAAATGACCTGGACATCTGGACTGGTCATCTAGTTTCCTCATACTCAGGGCTACCAAGTTGCTTAATAAATAAAGCCTCAACCTCAAGGTAGAATCTGGAGCCCTGTCCACAGGCCGACACTGTACAGGCCGTCTAGCATGACCTTGCTGAATGGCATGAACCCTCCAGACCCCAGTCATAAGTGAAATCCCAGCACTAGGCCATCAGCCTCAAAGCCATCATAACTCAACCTCACTGTATGGTTCTCAGCCAAAAAGAGAAAAAAGGGGGAGCGGGTGGGCGGCTGCCTACAGGCTCACAGATAACTGTATACCCAGCCCTCGGTGTTGGGAACACATCCTCAACAGACCTCAGAACCTGGGACAGAGACCCCCAGGCCACCCTGTTGAGAACACAGGCTAGCAACCAACCAACGGATCCATCCCCTAGGGCAAGGTACAAATGTGGGTGGACATCTTCCCCAAGAAGCTGGGGCCTCCTGGTCCCCAAGTCAACATCAGCCCCAGAAAGCCTAAACGGTGAGTGACAGCCTGTTTCCCAATTGCTGCGTTTCACAGCTCAGCCTCCCCCAGGCGCAGAGCACCCTTGTCCTCAGACAGCAAGTTGCAGTAATCCTTTTCTCTACTGGGAAGACAGGAAGCTCTTCTGGGAGCTTTCTTCCCCTGAATCCCCTACATTCAGCAAGAACATGGAGGGCAGCCTCCCAGCCTCTTACCAAGAGTAGCTGGGGAGCTATTCCTCAGCAAAGCCTCACAGCACAGTGGCTGTAGGTATGAGCTGCGCTGCATCGTCTGGAAGACTGCCAACGTGGACCTGGTGGATGTCAGTTTAAGTAAAGAGAAGACGAGCGACATCTATGTCAAAGGGTGAGGGACAGGAGTCGGGCTTCAGAGAGGCCCTCGCTTACCCATTTCTGCGATCCCACTGGGGCCTCCCCCAATCCTGAGGGAGTACCTCTCCACTTCTCCGTGTGCCTGGCATCAGCTGGGCAGCCCTTCCCCCAGGGATCTAGCCCAGGGACAGGGCAATACCCACGAACCCCAAGTGAAAGGACTCTGGCCCCAGGTGGCTATATGGACTAGAGAAGGACATGCAGAAGACAGACATTCATTACCACTCCCTGACTGGAGAGGGCAACTTCAACTGGCGGTTCATCTTCCCCATGGACTACCTGGCGGCGGAGCATGTGTGCGTCCAGAGCCAGAAGGTAACAGGCCTGGGGTTTGGGGGCTGAAGAGGAACAGCCTCAGGCTCCAGGGGCTGCTCCCCGTCCTCCCTCCAGAGGCCTGCAAGCTATTCCAGAACACTAGGAACGTGTCTTCAGGTGGAAACCCTCTTCTTTGATAGTCTATCACTGCTGGGTAGCAGACTACTGAAATGTCCAATGGACACCTCCAATCTCTAGGAGACAGGCCACTAACACTTCTTCTGCCATCCTCCAGGATTACATATGGAGCCTAGACCCTACCTTGATGAAGTTTCCAGCTCGGCTCATCATCCAGGTCTGGGACAATGACATCTTCTCCCCCGATGACTTCCTAGGTGAGGCCCTGACGCAGGGCTTGTGACCACAGGACAGGGAGCTCCTCTGTGCTGATGGCATTTCTCTGGGCTCAGGGGTCCTGGAGCTGGATTTGTCTGACATGCCCCTCCCGGCTCGGCATGCCAAGCAATGCTCCATCAGGATGATGAACCCTGACCCCAAGTGGCCCTACTTCCTCCAACACAAGCACTTCTCCCTCTTTAAGAAGAAGACTGCAACTGGCTGGTGGCCTTGCCAGGTCCTCGATGGCGGCAAATGGCGCTTGTCGGTAGGAGCTGGGAAGGTGCCTATCGAATAGGACTGTTATGCCACATAACCTGGCCCTAAGAGGCTTCTGGGAAACTTGGCTAAATTCCTTTTCCTTTCTGGGTGCTGGGAGGAGGTTCTAAAGCCACCCTGCTCATGCTGTCCGTATTCAGCCTCCCACACTTGTGGTGCTTCTAGGGCAAAGTGAAGATGACTCTGGAAGTTCTGTCAGAGAAGGAAGCCTTGATCAAGCCAGCAGGGCGAGGCCAGTCGGAACCCAACCAATATCCTACACTTCATCCTCCCCTGTAAGGGTCCTTGGGGCAAAGGCACCAAATCTTTCTTTCTCCTCAGTTTGTATGGGGTGGTGACCAGTGGGCTTACCAGTGCTTAGGGGTAATAACTTCCTACCCTGCAGCTCAGTGCTCAGTTACAATCAGGAGAGAACAGATGTGGGGTGGGGCTGGGGGTAAGCAGAAGTTGTTTTTGTTTTGTAGTTTTTTTTAAAAGAAAGCTCTTTTCTCTGGATTAGTTGACCTGAAGGTTTCTTCTGCCTTTCATTCTCTAACATATCCCCTGCTCATGGACAGGCGCACTGACACCACTCTCACATGGCTGCGGTCACCGGCTAAACACTTCTGTCGTGTTTTCTGGAAACGCTACCGCTTCAAGTTCATAGCCCTCACAGTCATACTGATTATAGCACTTCTGCTGTTCAACTTTATCTATTCAGCTCCGGTAAGTGGCAACAACAGGCACAGGAGCAAAGGGACGGGTTGGTCTTGGGATAACTCTGGAGAGGGGGCCTTCAGGTGGCTACCTCAGAGTAACTGTGGTCTGTTCTCTCTAGCACTACTTGGCCATGAACTGGATCAAACCTGAACTTCGGCTGCATCCTCCCATTCAAATAGTCAATGTTATCACTTCACCAAACACCAGCAATGCCAACTCTTCCATTCTCATCACCCAAGAGCCACACCTAAAGCCTACGACAGACCATGAGTTGAAACTCCCCCAGGGACCCAAGAATCACCTGAGTGATATTTTCCCAGAATTTCCAGCCCCATAAGACTAGTTTGCCAGTGTTTGCCTGGATTTTCTTCTGCCTACCATCAGCCCTATCAGTTCTTCGTTTCTGTTTTCTAGGACATCTGTAAGGAACTAGGAATATTTTGGCTGTTGTGTTCAGAAATTACTTCCAACAAGAAGAGCAGAGCTATAATTTTCCACTGAATAAACAAGTTTTGTAATAGAGCATCACCTTGTAATTTAGGGGGTTAAAGACAACTTTAAAAGCTGAAAACGCCAGCCCTTCAAGACACACAGAGACAGAGAGTGATGTCATCTTTTTGTGCCCCCTCTAGCCATAGGGTCTCTCCATGTTAACAGGCTCTGAAGTCAGAAGGCAAGGAGAGAAGGGTGACCAGTGAGAAGTGGCTCTCGTGAGTAAGCAGCACGCCAAGGCCCCAGCTCTCACTTCCAGGGGGCATGCACAGCAGGGCCTCACCAGGAGGCCCTAGCATCCATGTGGGATGACAGTGACCAGGCCAATATTTGGCCCATTCATAATAGAAAACATTTGTTTCAGAATAAAAATCAAGAGTGGAGGCAGAATATCCAAACCTAGGTCAGGTAATGTTCTTATGCCACACATTTCTCTAAGGGCAGCCCTAGGCTGGGTGAGGACTGCATTTCATGTATTCTCTGCCTTGTTAATTAATTAATTTATCTATTTATTTGTTTTCAAGTCAGAGTCTCACTCTGTCACCCAAGCTGAAGTCAGTGGCATGATTACAGCTCACCACAACCTTGACCTCCTGGGTTCAGGCGATATTTCTGCCTCAGCCTACCAAGTAGCTGGGACTACAGGCACACACTACCATGCCCAGCTAATTTTTTTTTTTTTTTTTTTGGCGTTGGAATCTCACTTTTGTCACTCAGGCTGGAGTGCAGTGGCACGCTCATGACCACCACAGCCTTGACCTGCTGGGCTTAGGCAATTCTTCCATCTCAGTCTTCCAAGTAGCTGGAAATACAGGCACATACCACCATGCCCAGTTAGTTTTTTGTGATTTATTGTAGAGATAAGGTCTCACCAAGTTGCCTGGGCTGGTCTCAAACCCCCAGGCTCAGGCAATCCTCTCACCTCAGCCTCCCAAAGTGCTGGGATTATATAGGCTGAGCCACCGTGCTCGGCCAATTTCTTTTAGTTTTTGTAGAGATGAGGCTTCACTGTGTTGCCCAGATTAGTCTCAAACTCCTGGGCCTCCAAAGTGCTGGGATTACAGCTGTGAGTCACAGTGCCCATCCTCTGCCCTCTTTAAAAAGCTTCAAGATGCTTATGAGCTAGAATCAAACAAATCCCACAGGTTTGCTCTCTTTCACACCACCCTACCCCTCTGATGAAGCCCCCTCCTTTTACACTGCTGCCTTGGCCACTTCAAGAACCTACCTAGGTCCTTCCAACACAAAGGTCCTTGCAATATCTCCTTTGTATTCAAAAAGACAAAACCACTATTAATTTTTTCAGTTCTCCCTGGTCCCAAGGTCAAGCTAGATCATAGTTTGTCCTCTGGCACCCTGGAACTACTATGCTATTGTAGGGAAGGTGTTAGGAGGATGACTTCAGTCTCAGCCTCACCTCCATCCCACCCGCAGGAGAGGACTACAGCCTATGCTGCTTAATCAAGTACACGGGAAGGATAGAATGCCCAAGGAGACAAAGACCTATGCCCAGCCAAGGTGACCCCCTTTCCTTCTGGGACGAGCTGAGGGTTTTCCTAATCCAGGAGAAGGCAAAACAAGAATTGATGGGCTTGAGGCTCAGGAAAAAGGCCTGGACTCTCCCCCAAACCCACTCCTAGAAGGACACCGAGTCAGAGGCCAAGGTTGATTCCATCAGCCATTTTAAGAATTTCCTTTGGACAGCAGAGGTCCATAGGAGAGCTCAGAGTTCCAGGCGCTCCAGAAAGACGCTGGCCTGTAACCAACTTAGTCACACGGCAGACAGGTGAGCAGCATGTAGCCTCTTGTCAAAAAAGTAGTGGAATAGGGTTGACCCACAGAAGACGGCACTCAGCTGCACTGCTCAATGTCAATGAAGTCTTCCAGGCACCAATGATGATGGTCTATTGCACCCAGACTTGGAACATGAGAACAGCAACTGTTTCTTATCCGTTTAAAAAAAAAAAAGAAGAAGAAGCCAAAGTTCCTCTTTGGGCAATGTCCAAGCCCAGGATTTAAGAAAGCTTCCTTACACTTTCAACACTCAGAGTGGGATTCCAAAAATCATAACTACAAAACATGCAGCTAAGAAGGCTCTAGCAAGTCCAAAAATATCACATGGCCAGGCCACATGACAAATGCTGCTTTCAGTGTCAAACCTGGAGCCGGCCAGTTTTACAGTTAACCCATGGCATCTGTGATGTCTTCTTGGCCTCTCTTGACTTGTACACCAACTTTCAACCAAACTTGACGAGGGCCTGAAGGAACTTGACTGGGAGAGCCATGGACACACCAACAGATCTAAGACCCAAGCTAGAGAACAGAAGCAGGAACAGTAAGCCAAAGCAGAAGCCTTCTCCCTAGGCTACCTAATGAAGACCAGTGGAACCTAGACGTGTTCCGTAGCCTAGGCCCTAACAGAGAGGCATCCAAATGTCTTTTCCAGCTCAAGTCACACATAGGACAACAAATGGAGCGGAGAGGAAGGTGAGGAAGGTGAGGCAGGGAAGACGTTTCCATCCTGATTTCCAAAAAAAGCTTCCTCAGGTAGATAGAGGCTTAGGTAAAAAGCAAAATCCAGTGAATGGATGACTGGAAAGTATGAGGTGTTACCAGTTTTCTATTCTTGGTGGATTTACCCTCTGGGTCCAAGGTAGCCTGGGTTATGAATTCTGTTCTCTGATTTTGGCATCACAACAGCATAACTTTTCTCCATGCCTCTTTGCTTCCACATGGAAAGACTGCAGGGAAAGGCACATCACAGCAGCACTGCCCTGGGGTGGGTGGCTTCCCAGACCAGAGTTGGATGTCTTCACGGATAACCATGGGAATGTGGAGGTCCCCGCATCCAAGGCTCCAGTGATAGAACATAGCCCCGAACAGCTGCTAGAGAATGGAGAAGACTCACCAGGTTGCGTGCTCAGGCCAGTGCCTGCTCTTCCCACACCTCATGAGCAGCAGTAACAGAGATGATGGCAGCATGAGGACTCAGTAGAAACGCTTTCGGCTCTGTTCCTGCCATTTGTTGTAGAGTATGATGCCAATGACAATGGCAAATACAGAAAACACCAGAGAGAAAAAGACGATGAGGAAGAGGGCCAGGCCACTCAGGGGCGGCAGTGGAGTTGTCACTGAGAAAGCAAGAGAGGAGCAAATCAGAAGCAAGAAGCCCGCCCAGTAGGGAGGGATCAACTGGCTGTCCAGTCCCTCTTTCCAATTTAGGAATGAAGCAGCCCTCCTGCTGCTTATCTGTAACATAAAGACAAGTGGAAAGGCAGGAGCAATTGCTGTATATTCTTCAGAGGAAGAACACAGAACAGAACAACCTGTAAGCTATGGGTGCAAGTCACCTCAGAAGCCATGCAGCACTGTAGCCTCCCCACCGACCAGAGGACCATTTCCCAGGAGCCCCTGTGCTCACTTTCAGGCAGCTTCATATTGTCCACCGAGGGCAAGAACACGTCTCGATGCATCTTTTCCTCTTCTGGGGTTCTCTCCACTGTCAGCTCAAACAACTTGAGGGAAATGACATCATGGTTATCTAGCAAATAAAGAAACAAGGATTATTCAAGCCACTTCAAAAAGAGATACATTTTTTGGCCTGGTGTTTTGCCTCATGCATTTTGGGAGGCCACGGCAGGAGGATTACTTGAAAGTAGGAGTTTGAGGCCAGCTTGGGCCACATAGCGAGACCTTGTCTCATTTATTCATTGATTCATACACACACACACACACACACACGTTTCTTGAAGTCAGTATCTTGGTTCAAGCTACTGATGCACAGCTGACTAGCAGTGACCTTGAAAAAAATAATTGAAACCTCTCCATCTTCTCAACTAAAAATAAGGCTAGGGAACAAGACATATTCTATATTCTTCTGTGTTAAGTTTTTATCAAAAAGCATGTATTACCTGTACAGAAGATTCCCGACTTATAATGGATGACTTGAATTATGACTCTAACTTTATGATGGTGAAAAAGTGATCCACATTCAGTAGAAACCATTTCAGACATGAACCACTGTGACTGGCCAGATTTGTGATCTCTTAATAGCAATTCCCACTAAAAGGAACTCGAGTTTCCTTGAGAAATGGCTGATGCAAGGTTTGAGGCAGAAAATGTACAAATATGGTACTTCCTATAAAAGCAAGGAAGGTATCAAACACTTCTGTCTTGTTACTGAGTTTTGATCTTTTCCCGGGCTAACAATATGTCATACCATACTCTAGTGGTACTAGGCAGGGGCAGTGAGTGCAGTTCCAATCAGCCACACGATCATGAGGGTAAACAACCAATACCAGACTCTACAGTATACTGTATTCGATAAATTATAGGAGCTATTCAATACTTTATTATAAAATAAAACACAAGCCGGGCTCGGTGGCTCAAGCCTGTAATCCCGTGCCTTTGGGAGGCTGAGGTGAGCGAATTGCCTGAGCCCGCGGGTTCCAGACCCGCCTGGGCAGCAAGACCTCATCTCTACAATAAATCAAAAAAAAAAATCAGCCGGGCGTGGTAGCGCATGCCTGTAATTCCGGCTACTCGGAAGGTTGAGGCGGAAGGATCGCCGGAGCCCAGCAGGTCGAGGCTGCGGTGGCCGGGAGCAGCCACTGCACTCCAGTCTAGGCGACAGAGTGAGACTCCAACTCAAAAAAAATAAAAAATAAAACACTTTACTATATAATAGATGTCAAGGAGCATCTGTATAACTAATACATTTAGAGATAACACAAAAATTAAATCTCCTATCACATATAAAACCTTCCACCACAATGAGGGGCATGCATGCACACACACACACGAAAAGAAAGGTCTCATGACAGTTGTTTACTGAGCAATGGTCAGGGCACAGCTCCTAGCATGGAATATACTAATCTTTTTGGACTATGCCTATTTTTTTGTGGTTCCTTATGATTGTGACTCTGAATCTCCCTAATAATTACCAGAGAAAGGATCAAGGAATTAGAGGCTAGCTTTCTCTCTCTTTAAGGTATAATTATAAACCCAAAGGTTTAAGCATATTTGATGTTTTTCAATGCACCAAAGGTATTATCGTACTGATGCTCAACGCACCTGTCTTAGTCCAGTAGAAGATTATTAAAGTTCACTCCTGAGTCCCTTTACATGAACTCAGAAGTGTTTGTTATCTTCCTTGCTTTCCTGGGAAGTTCCAGACTTGTACATTTTCTGTGTCAGACCTTGCATCAGTCATTTCTCAAGGAAGTTCTAGTGGGAATAGCTATTAAGAGATCACAAATCTAGCTGGGCACAGTGGTTCACACCTGTAATCTCAGTACTTTGGGAGGCCAAGGTGGAAGGGTTGCTTGAGCCCAGGAGTTCAAGAGCAGCCTCGGCAACATAGCCACACCTTGTCTCTACAAAAAATACAAAAATTAGCCGGGCATGGTGGCATGAGCCTGTAGTACCAGCCATCAGGAAGGCTGAGGTGGAAGGATCACCTGAGCCCAAGAAGTCAAGGCTGTGGTGAACTGTGAGCATGTCACTGCACACCAGCTTGGACAACAGAGTGAGACCCCAAATTTAAAAAAAAATTAGAAAAAAAAGAGGCCACAAATCTGAGTTTGAGGGGTGCTCACTACAAGGATTTCCAGTTTCTCTTGAAAAACTGGAAGATTTGGTCTTATTGAGCCCACACTTCCTTTTAGCAACAATGGCTGGAGCTGAGCTGAGTAGCTATTGCCTGTTTCTGATGGATAACTGACTGAGGTCTGGATTTCTGGTAAGTTCTATTATTAAGATAGTATCTACAACTGCTTGGACTGCTAGAATCTTCAACAGATCCCCGAAGAGTAAAAACTGAATTTACCTTCAACTGGAAAAATGCTGGTTTGTTTGTTTTTTTGAGTTGGAGTCTCACTCTGTCACCCAGGTTGGAGTGCAGTGGCACACTGCTCACGGCCACCTCAGCCTCAACCTGCTGGGCTCAGGTGATCCTTCTACCCCAGTCTTCCAAGTAGCTGAACTACAGGCGTGCACCACCATGTTCAGCTAGTTTTTTGATTTATTGTGGAGATGAGGTCTTGCCAAGTTGCCCAGGCTGGAAAAAATCCAGATTTCCAGCTTCTCTTGGGCCTCATCAAGCCCACACTTCCTTTTAGCAACAATGGCTGCAGCTGAGTAGCTGTTGTCTGTTTCAGATGGGTATCTACCTTTTCATTTTGCCACAAGAAAATTTATTTCAAACTAGTTTTATCCATAATATATTATATTAATCAAAAGAACCAAAGTTCAGTTTCTTTTTTTTAATTTTTAATTTTTATTTCTTTTGAGTTGGAGTCTCACTCTGTCACCCAGGCTGGAGTGCAGTGGCACGCACACAGCCACTGCAGCCTTGACCTGCAGGGGCTCAGGTGATCCTTCTGCGTCAGCCTTCCAAGTAGCTGGAAATACAGGCACGCGCCACCAGGCCCAGCTAATTTTTGATTTATTGTAGAGATGAGGTCTTGCTAAGTTGCCCAGGCTGGTCTCAAACCCGTGGGCTCAGGCAATTCTCTCACCTTAGCCTCTCAAAGTGCTGAGATTATAGGTGTGAGCCACTGTGCCCGGATGGTTTCTTATCTCTTCCCAAAAGACAATATGATTGGAATCAAAGGCAAGTGAAAGAATAGGCATAAAAAGAGAAGCTATGAGTAAGTCATGAGTAGAAAGAGAAACCAGAGGAGACAGAGAAGTAAAAGAACCAGGTAAGGTAATGCCACATAAGCCAAGGAAAGCAAGAGTTTCCAAGTGATTGGTTAACTGAGCTGACGAAAGGGCAAAGTGAGGATGAGAACAGAGCACTGTATCTAGCAAGGAAAACAGAAGGAATTTTCATGAGAACAGTGTTAATGGCAAGGCAGAGGTATAGGTCAAGTGCGGCATGATGAGGAGGTGGATGGCTAGGAAACAAAAGCATTTGTACACATAATACACTCAAAAGTCAGAGCACAAGTAGAGTCTGGGGGTCAGTTAGAAGAGGAATGGCAGAGCCAGGGACAAGGTTTGTGAAAAGAAGGGGAACTGGGCACCTAGCAGAAGAAAGGGGCTCCAGAGATAGGAAAGCAAGGATGCACAACACATGCTTAGGGAAGGGGCAGACACTGTTTTCTGTTAGCACCAACCATCCGCTGGAAGTAAATGTACTCAAAAGCCTGGACCTGGGGTTTAGAGGCTCTAGATACAAGAATGCTAGAAAAGAAGCTTTCAGGGCACTTGCTTCCCAAGCTCTGCTCCTCTGACTCTCCCCTGAGAGGCCTCACCAAGGCCTGGATATTGAGAGGAGGCCGCAGTCGGAAACAAAGAGAGCATGTGGCAGTACCCGAGAGATCCCCAGTGATGGAGGAGGTGCCGAAGTAGTAGCCACGGGGCAGGCGGACCCCGGGCACCTCAATGCAGTCCCTCCACTCATGCTTGCCATCAATGTCCATCATTATCTAGGATTAAAAAAAGAAATAAATCAGGGTCAGGCAACAGAAGGAGTAAGATAGCCCATACTGCCACCTGGTCTGGGACAAGCACTACTCACCGTCAAATGCCTCTTGACATAGCGAATCACAAGGAAGGTGTCATAATGGAGATTGCGGACAATGGCCGTACAACCCCCCAGCTCTGTAGGCCTCCCATCCCGCTCATGATCATAGCTGAGGGAACCGTTGTTCACCATGGCTGAGATGTAGGGAAATACCCGCTGGGAAGCAGGGAGGGAAAGCAGAGACAGTAAGGAAGAGCTCTTAGGAACACTTGTGCAAAGAGCAACATGAATTTTCCAAGTACAAGCAGAGCTTCTCACAGCAGACCAGACAACCTCTCTGCCTCATCATTAGCAGCCCCTGAGAACCCATACTCAAGGAATATGGGCCCAGAAAGCAACTGAATTTCACACTTGCCTTTGGCAATTCTCCTTGTTCTTGATATGGAAGGGACCTGATATGGCCCCTATAAGATGCTGGAGTCTGACTTAAATCTTCCCAGAAGTCACCATTTGGCACTTATATGCTGCCTAATACTAGGGGTTTCCTTTTTATGTATCTATGACTAGTCCCCAACTGCCACATAAGTTTCTTGAAAAAAAAAATCATTTATTATGTATCCTTATTTTTTATTTTATTTTTTTGAGTCAGAGTCTTACTCTGTAGCCCAGACTGGAGTGCAGTGGCACACTCATGGCCACTGGAGCGTCGAGCTGCTGGGCTTAGGCGATCCTTCCACTTCAGCCTTCCAAGTAGCTGCAACTACAGGCAAGCACCACCACAACCAGGTAATTTTTGATTTATTGCAGAGATGAGGTCTCGCCAAATTGCCCAGGCTGGTCTCGAACCCCTAGGCTCAGGCAATCCTCTCACCTCGGCCTCCCAAAGTGCTAGGATTAGCCGGGCTCAGTGGCTCAGCCTGTAATCCCGTGCCTTTGGGAGGCTGAAGTGAGTGGATTGCCTGAGACCGCGGGTTCAAGACCCGCCTGGGCAAC